TTAATAAATCAGGAATAATTAATTTTATCTGAAAAAAAAGTCACATAGTCAGTCAGGCCAGAGACAATTCAACTGACAAAAGGTTTTATGTTCTGTTTGATTGAAAATTTATTGGCGATTCAAGTAAGCACAGAAGTCAACACCATCCATGATACTTGAGTCAGCTTTCATTGTAGTTTAGGCGGCATGTCTGGGTGCTGAAGAAACATTCTGTTGTTCCTATGAATGAGAAAACCATATATGTAACAGTTTACATATATAACATTTTAATGTGCTATGTTCAACAACTTTGCACCAAATGTAATGTGTTTTTTGTAGTTATTTTGTAAGTATGAGTTCTAGGAGAACAAGGAGGAGAAAAATGTATGTGTGTGTCGTTACACTCACAGCACTGGTAGAGCCTGTTGATTCTGATGATGTCATTCTGGCTCATCTCGGTAGATGTGCCCAGCGCAGCATTATTGTCAGGAATGGGAACCATAGTGGGGAGGCCATTCTTGGAGAAGGCGTATCTGACAGAGCGAGTGACAGATGCAGTTAGATGACAGTGTTACACCAGAGAAACGGCATCTCCTTATACTGGAAGCTCCCTCACCTCTCATACTGCATCACAGAGCTGTAGTCATAAGGAGTTCCCTGGTTTAGAGTGTCGATTTTGTTGAAATTGTACTTCATGTCTGATAAACAAACAAAACATTTAGTCTAGTAGATGTGCAATACAGTACTGAACTAATCGCTACATGTATTCTTCAGAAATGAGTTTGTTATTAACAATGTACCATCAAGGATGTTCTCCCAGATGACTTGGATGTGATTGTCACGGTCGCTACGAGTCTGTTCATGGTTGAAGCCAAGAGCGTGGAGAAGCTCATGCTGCACAGTGCTGTGGTAAACGCAACCATTACGGTCCAGAGACACAGTCTGGGCATAACCCTGACGACCAACGTACGAGTAGCATCTGTAAGACAGAGCTCCATAAAATATACGTTTTTGACCCTTCTCTGAATATTAACTTTATCTCTTCATCATCTTGATGCACTTTTCATCACAAGTTACATTTGGAATGTAGTTTTCATTCTGATGGAAATCAGCTTCTTCCTCTGATTCTTTTTCTAAATGTATTTGTTTGTAGTCTCAACCTTAACTTTTACTTCGGTATTTTTTTACATTGTCTTGAAAATGATTCTGTGTTGGTTTGTGATGTTTTTCTGATTTTGATTTTGGTTGCGTTATGTACCCACTGCGAGATTCAATGCTGATATAGTCTCTCTCATTGCTGCGGGGGAAGAAGCGGATGCAGGTGCTGTAGGAGAAAGAGTCCAGACCACGTTGGATGATCTCCAGCTCACGGGAGGCTGAAAGACCAAAGGTCAGAGCTTGCTATGGAAAGGTTCATCTTTTATTTAACATCTCAGCCGGATGCACAAGGTACATACTTCAGCAAGGATACAGAATTTGACCTACTTTTATCTTTTTATATAAGAAGTAAAAACATAAATCACAACACTAGTGACTTACAGTAGTGGTTGGCGATGACATAAGGCACA